TGAACACGATCTTTGACTACAACATGGGAGAAATATTCATATTTCCTAATCCTCGCACTCAAGACGACTGCACTGTATCTCTACTGAACACCAACAATACCTTTGCAAGGTTCTTTTTTGGCGTCGTCCCTGGTCCCAACAATACCGTTCACATTGGCCCTCCTTCTGCACTCTTTGGTCTTAATAATACTGTTAATTACACGTACATGGGTATCCGTTTTGCTAGAGGTATTCCATGCCATCACTGGTGGACGTGCACAAATCGTGAGAATGCATCCTTTACCCTGGAATATTATTTCACTGATAGTGATCTATGGACGGCCCCCTACCCTCAAGATGATGGATATGGATATGTACCAGTCCTTGTAGAGTTGCATGGAAATATCACTGATAGGATGACGGGAGAGGAAAGGATGACTCATCATCATTATAATATTCTTGATTTTAGATCTGGCTCCAATGCTGTTCCTGACTCTGCTTTTAATGTACCATTTGATCTCGTGTGTAAAGGGCGTCTCCCTGGGCAGCCATTACCTCAGTTCCCTAATGTATTCTCGTTAAATGCGGAGACTGTTTTTAATGGATCAGCTTCAACTTATCAGGTTAGACTTTTTTTATATTATTGCAGGCTCCATTGTTATAGCTTGCTGTTCACATACATCACCCATTGATAGCTATGAATGAGACAGTATAGTCATTCATAATGTGTCTGATATCTTTTTCATGATCAGTAGTACTATTCAATCCAGCAATAATTAGTGCTGTGTGTAATTATAACAACTATTATGTAGTATTGCTCGTGTGTACTCTTTGCTGGTATTATGGATAGTAATGATGAAATTGAAATTGCTAATAATAAAATAAACAAGTGTGTAGGTACATGTTTATGTAGTTGTTAAAAGACCTGTTTTTATTTTAATAGTGATTTATAGTTTTTATTCATTCGTTTGCTCTATATGTTAAACCATGCAGATTAACACCGTTCTTCTTTTATTTCAGGAATATTACGATTACTCACACCTACTGTTTCGTATTGATGGCTATGCATCTACTGATGGTATTGGACCTTTCTCAGTTGTTCACGACTTCCAAATTGGAATTCAGTACTTTTTACCGCAAGCTAACGGAACCTGTAGGGTCCAGCCCCTCAATGAGAATAACACTGCATTTGATTCGATCCGTGACAATTCCGGACATTTTTACCTGAGGAATGTTAGTAGCCTTTTTCTACTTGGTTCGCCTGATCAGTTTGTGTATGAAGGTGTTACTACTATCCGTGGCATGATGGTTGATGTGTGGCAGTCTTACCGTGATCAACAGATTATCTATAGAGGTAACTTCACTAACATTACCTACTTGCTGTATATGACAAGGCCTGGAATGAATACCGACTCTGTATTTGGCAATACTTCAGATCCTGTGTTAGTCCAAAGTAAATTCTCTGCTGTACTGAATGTCGTTGTCAATGGAACTGTTATTTCGACAAACTTGTCTTCGGTTTCTAGTATTTTTGGTATGTCACCTTCTGAGCCTCCACTGGATGCTTTTGCTACTCTCTCTTGTTTCTCACCTTCTGATTATCGTATGGTCCAGTTCCGTTTACCATTAAATGTAGGCCCAGCTAATCAGGCATTGTTTAGGTCCAATGTTCGTTCAGCTTTTATCAAATATGCCAACAGCATTGGCATGACTTTTGTATCTCCACTGCAAGTCAACAATATACAGGTAAATTAATTTTGTTAATATTAGTATTATTATTATGTTTTAAAAATTATTATTGTTGTGTAATTAGCGTGCTAACATTTGCCATAAAGCAACTTCAAGATAATTTTAAAGTCTAATTTTGATTGGGATTAGTCAACGTATTGTATGCCTGTAGCATTTTCGACAAAATACCCTGTAGTATTAATTATTGAGTACAAGGAGCTTGAGCAACTTTAAAAATTCATTAAGAATTCAATTTTGATAGGAATCAGCTCAAAATTTCTACATAGCACAAGAACATGTATATTTATTAGAAAGAATTATATAAATGGAGAATCCTCTCCTAGCCATTTTTGACAAGGGAATTACTATTACTGCAATGTCTTTTCATTACATATAAGTACTGGTTCTATGTTTTTTTGGTTGTATTTTTTTATTTTAATTATAGGTTGACACTCAGACTGTTAGTAATGCTACTGTGGTTTCATTGTATATCACTAATGTTCCTCCTAATGCTACTCAACAATGGACTTCAACTCCTCAAGCATTTGTCTCTAGACTACTTGGAGGACTTAGCAATGGAGACAACCTTCCATTCACTATAATGTATGACCATTAATTTAACTTGTTGGATCTTTACTGCATTACAGTTATAAATTTTAAAATAATATTGCCTTACTTAGAATAATTTCATCATGTAATAGGTGTGGTATTATTTTGTTTATTTTTGTAGGTTTAATGGCTCTCAGGTTGTTAATGCACAGCCAGTCTACTATAATGACACCATAGTTCCTTCCAACTGCCCTGCTCCTACTACTGTTACTGCTACTACATCTGTATATGTTACTGCCTCAGTTTCTGCTAGCTGTTCTAATATTGCCTGTCCTGCTTGTGAAAGTAATGTTGGAACAGTAGCTGGTGTTGGAATTGGATTGCTAATATTTGGTTTGATTGTTGGTGCCTTAGGTGTTCTTGTACTGTGTTGTGTCTTGCAACGCAGGAAGACTGGCAGCTTCAGTCCACCAGTTGCTAAATATGAGCGTCAAGTTGATGAATTTTCATCTTAAGTTGCTCATAACAATTTATTCCTATGCTTTTGTATTGCTGTGTTTATTAGGTCTATTATTCTTTTCCTTTTGTGTGCCCTCTTTCGATTTCTGCAGTAATTATCTTTTTATATAATTTTTGCTGCTGTATAAATTCTTCATTATGTAAAAAGATAATATTTGTACTAGTAGAGATGCATTTTCAAGAGCTATTACACATCAAAGCAGTACTTACTAACTGTTACATATTGGTGGTCAGGGACTCGGTTTCCCACAGGAGCTTCATGCAGCTTCTTGTCACTCAGCTGCGTTTGCAAAGCTTCTGTTGATGCTTAGAAATGTTCGGACTGTAATTGGCGTGAACGGACTCATTAACCATTTGTGTATAATAGTAATGCACTTTTGTAAAGCTTTTAGTAGCGGCATTACAAGAAGAATGGCTACTCGAATTGTTCTTGCTGTCCTTATTTTCTTGAGCTGCAGGGCTAAAAGTGATTTTATTCCATGCGTCCCACGCCCACCAGACCCTGAATCGTCTCGGGCATTACCGCAGATCCCCAGCCAGTATTATGTAGCCATTGAGGCAGTTCTGTTTGAAAGGAACTTGACAGACTTTGTCTCAGAGTATTACGATGGTCCAGGTGATCGTGGACGTGCTACCTTCGAGTATAAAGGTAAAAAAGTTAACACAATATTTGACTACAACCTGGGAGAAGCATTCATATTTCCTAACCCCCGCACTGATGAAGAATGCACTGTATCTCTACTGAATACCAGCAATAGCTTAGCAGGGTTCTTGTTTGGCGTTATCCCTGGTCCCAACAATACCGTTCACATTGGCCCTCCCTCATCATTCTTTAGTTTCGGTAATAATACTGTTAATTATACGTACAAGGGTATCAATTTTGCTAGAGGGATTCCATGCCATCACTGGTGGACGTGCACGAACCATGGGAAATCATCCGTTACTTTAGACTATTATTTCACTGATAGTGATCTATGGACGACCCCTTACCCTCAAGACGATGGATATGTACCAGTCCTTGTAGAGTTGCATGGAAATATCACTGATAGGAGGACGAGAGAGGAAAGGATGACTCATCATCATTATAATTTTCTTGATTTTAGATCTGGGCCCGATGCTGTTCCTGACTCTGCTTTTAATGTACCGTTTGATCTCGTGTGTAAAGGGCGTCTCCCCGGGCAGCCATTACCTCAGTTTCCTGATGTATTTTCATTTAACGCTGAGACAGTTTATGATGGAACAGCGGCTTCAACTCATCAGGTCAGATCATCAGATTGCTTTAATTGTTGTAGCATGCTGTTCACATACATTATGCATGAGACCTTACTCATTCATCAGTAGCACTACTAATCAATCCAGCAGTTGCAGTAACGTGTGTACCTGTAAAGCTGTGGTATTTATAGTTACAATTTATGTAGCAGTACCAATGTGTATGAGTATAGTAATTAGTAATGATGAATTAGATGTTGCTAATAATAAATAAGCATTGGTACTTTTGCATGTAGTTGTTAAAGACCATATTCATGGTCCTTTGTAGTGATTCATAGTAATTCCATTCATGCATTTACTCTAATTGTTGGACCATGCTGATTAACATTGCTGTCTTGTCATTTTTAGGAATATTACGATTACACACACCAATTGTTTCGTGTTGACGGTTACACATCTATGAAGTCACCTAACTCTGATATTGGACCTTTCTCAACTGTTCACGACTTCCAAACTGGAATCCAGTACTTTTTACCACAGATTAATGGAACCTGTAGCATGCAGCCCCTCAATGACGATAACACTGTATTTGATTCTACTCGTGATGAGTCTGGGCATTTTCACTTGAGGAATGTTAGTAGTTTTCTTTTATTTGGTTCGCCCGATCAGTTTGTGTATGAAGGTGTTACTACTGTTCGTGGTATGATGGTTGATGTGTGGCAGTCTTACCGCGATCAACAGACCATTTATAAAGGTAACTTCACTAGCGTTACTTACATGCTCTACATAACAAAGCGTGGAATGACTCATACTGACTCAGTATTTGGTAATACTTCAGATCCTGTGTTAGTACAAACTAAATTCTCTGCTGTACTGAATATACCTGGCTATGGAACTAGAAATTTGTCTACAGTTTCTAGTGTTTTTGGTATGTCATTTTCTGAGTCTCCACTAGATGTCTTTGCCACTCTCTCTTGTTTCTCACCTTCCGATTATCGTATGGTCCAGTTCCGTTTACCAGTCAATGTAAACCCAGCTAATCAGGCATTGTTTAGGTCTAATGTTCGTTCAGCTTTTATCAAATATGCCGACAGCGCTGGCATGTCTTTTGTATCTCCACTGCAAGTCAACACTATACAGGTAAATTAGTGTGCTTTAAAATTACTGTTTTGCAAGCATGCAAACACTCTCCTTAAAGCAATTTTAAAGATGCGTTTAAAAAATCCAATTTTGATCAGAAACTTTTTATGCAACATAAAAACATATTTGATTAAATATTGGGTACTCTGTGCTATACTACACGTAATTACTAATGTATCTTTTTATGAGTAAATGTGCTAGTTCTATGCTATTTTTAGTTTTATTTTAATTATAGGTTGACACTCAGAGCATTCCTAATGCTACTGTGGTTTCATTATATATCACTAATGTCCCTCCTAATGCTACTCAACAATGGACTTCAACTCCTCAGGCATTTGTCTTTAGACTACTTGGAGGACTCAGCAATGGAGACAACCTTCCATTCACTATAATGTATGACCATTAATTTTAATTTTTGAATGAAAGCATGTGTTTACTAATTAAAATTATAGTTAAGAATAGTTATTGCCTTACATTATTTAGTTGTATCATGTAATAGATGTAGTATTATTTATTTTGCTTATTATTGTAGGTTTGATGGTTCTCCAGTTATTAATGCACAGCCAGTCTATTATATTGACACCATAGTTCCTTCCAACTGCCCTGCTCCTACTACTGCTACTGTTACTGCTACTGTTACTGCTACTACAACTGTATATGTTACTGCCTTAGTTTCCCCTAGCAGTTCTAATACTCCCTTGCCTATTTGGGCAGGTAATATTGGAGCAATAGCTGGTGCTGGAAGTGGTTTGCTAATATTTGGTTTGATCGTTGGTGCCTTAGTTACTCTTGTATTGTGTTGTATCTTGCAACGCTGCAAGAGCACTGGCGGCTATAGTCCACTAGTTGCTAAATACGAGTGAACTATATATTCCTATGCTTCTGTATTGTTGTATTTATTAGTTCCTTATTGTCTCCCTTTTTGTGCCCTATTTTGATTTCTGCAGTAATTATCTTTTTAAAAAAATTTTTGCTGGTGCATAATTTTATTTTTTATGTAAAAAGAGATTTGTACTTGCGATGGCATTGTTAAACTATTGCAAGAGTTGTTACAGATCATAGTGGTGCACAAGAAGTTTTACTAAGTCTAAGTGTATACTCTTGGTCAGGGCTTTCCACAGGATAGCACAGCAGCTTGTCAAAAGTCAGGCCAAAATCCCTGTGGATGGTCTTGGGCCAAATTTCACCAAAAATTAAAAGGAAAAAAAATCTCAATTTTAAAAATGTTTTTGATACATATACCAGTATATGTTTTTATGTTGTGTAGACTCTAGAGCTGATTCTGGTCCAAATTTGATTTTTTTATGAATTTTAAAAGTTGCTCCATATGCTGTAAGGCTTGTCAGCTCATGAAGTATGCAGTTTAGCAGTTTATATCACTTAGCAACGTTTTTAGGAAACCTTGCTGGTGGTGGCCCAGTACTGTAAATGACTGCAATAGTCAGGCTTTAGTACAAACTCTAAAAATAGGATTTCAATCATTTCATGTATTATTATTGATGTATCTGCCAGTTCCATTGACTGGTTTAAAGTCATTAAATCATTGCATACAAATACGTACAAAGTATTATAATTATTACAATGCGAGTTACTGTCCCTTAACCAGATGACACTGTAGAGAATATGGACTTGCATCCTCTTATAATGAAACTCCTGCAATGAATAATAATGCAATTATAATTATAACTATAATACATTTCATAGTCTGTTGACTTACATTGCAAATGGAATAAGTGTTATAGCATAACTACAGAAGAGAGAAATATTATTATACCTAATCTAAATTACTAACTGGAGCTACTTACACAATTAGAGCTATCACTTGAATAACAGCTAACAAGATTGCCAGTATAGGTTGTTTCTAGTTTGGTAACAAAAGCAGTTATCCGTCATTGAATCAATAATGTGACAGTGATAACAAATGAATCTAAAATCTGACGCATTATAAAATAGAGTTTCTTACCACAGCTGCACACACAATGGCCAATATGACTGCCAAAATAAACGTTACAATAGCAACAATCTTTATAATGACCTCGGTTGTGTTTTCCTTGACGTTGGTTAATTTCTTTAACTGAGTTATTGGGCCCATTAGAAAGAAAGTACTACATGTACAACAGTGATGATCCCTTTTACCATTTATAACCCACATACCTCACTACAGCAGTGATCGTTCCAATACTAAATAAAACAGCAAATGCTGGTGGACTTGCACCTGCAATAGCACAACCCTATAATGGATACGGTCATTTAAATATTTCCAGTATACAGTTTAAGACTCTGTCTTACCACAACAATGAAAATGGCTGCAATAACCGCACAGATAATAAACCCAATGATTCGCTGTTGCCAAGATAACTTTATTCCAGTCACTTTACTTTTTACCTATCACAAAAAGAAAAAATTATGTAAAAATAACTGATAAAAAATTCAATTAGCATGCTAAAGAGTAAACAATATGTCAGAAAAATAATTAATTTTTAAAATTCAGCTTGGCCTCCCTTTATGCATTAATAATACAACACATCACTAGTATTATAGTCTATGATTAAGTAATACTGCATTTCAATTGACTTGATCCTAATGAATGGCCCACATGTGTTTACTCAATGCATTTTTGTGTTAATTATGTATTTACTGAATCTACAGAATCTGTTAGAAATCCTCTGGTATCATCTTCCTCTGGTTCTGGAATGGTTTCTTCTTCCTCATCTCCACCAGAGAAAAAGTTTTTAAGCTTTGAACCAACACTCATTCTGCCTTGCAGTACACGCCCTCAAAAAATTATCAAACCACGCCCCAAAACCTTTTAGACACACCCATTTGTTATAAAGATAATGTAATAATCAACATTTAAAATAATTACTTAAATTAACACTAAAAAGCACAACTACTAATTAATATCCACATAATAATAATCGTAATAATAATAATAATAATAATAATAATAATAATAATGATAACAATTGCATAATGTATAAATGTGCCATAGTTAGCTGCTGCTATCTTCATAACATAAACTGTCATTAATTGTTAACTCGAACCTTCCCAGGGACATAATTCTTATCAATGATTGGCTCTTGCAGGAACATGTGTAGACAGCGCTCATTCTGTGCCAGAGGGTGACCAGCAACTCTAGAACAAGATAAAAAATGTAAAAAATACCAACATTACACTTATTTATTTACGAATAATCATGTAAACATAAAATGGTAGCCGTTGTGTTGATCTAAAACATGTTCTTTTAAAACAACAACATGTACGTTATTATAAGAATGCAATTAGTCACGATAACATGATTAAATGTGGGCCTTAGCTCTCATGAAAGCCACACAAGGATAACAATCATGCTTTGAAACTAAAAGGCTGAGAATACAATAGCTACAATGTATTATTATGAATGTTGGTTTATAGTACCACAGAGCAATGCTATTTGTTGCTAAGTGAGCTAAGCAGCATGCTTTGCAACTTTAAAAATTCATAAAAAATCCAAATTCGATCGAAATCATCTCAAACTTTCTACACAACATAAGTACATGTATATGCATCAGAAAAAATTATTAAAATGGCAAATTCTCTCCTTTTAAATTTTGGCAAAATTTGGCCCGGGACCGTGTACTATAGTACAGGGACTTTGACCTGATTTTGGAGTAACTTTAAAAATTCATAAAAAATCTAATTTTGATCGGAATCAGCTCAAACTTTCTATGCAGCATAAGAGCATGTATATGTATCAGGAAAAAATATAAAAATGAAGAATTCTCTCCTAGCCATTTTTGGCAAAATTTGGCCCGGGACCGTGTACTATAGTACAGGGACTTTGACCTGATTTTGGAGTAACTTTAAAAATTCATAAAAAATCTAATTTTGATCGGAATCAGCTCAAACTTTCTATGCAGCATAAGAGCATGTATATGTATCAGGAAAAAATATAAAAATGAAGAATTCTCTCCTAGCCATTTTTGGCAAAATTTGGCCCGAGACCGTGTACTATAGTACAGGGACTTTGACCTGATTTTGGAGTAACTTTAAAAATTCATAAAAAATCTAATTTTGATCGGAATCAGCTCAAACTTTCTATGCAGCATAAGAACATTTATATGTATCAGGAAAAAATATAAAAATGGAGAATTCTCTCCTAGCCATTTTTGGCGAAATTTGGCCCGAGACCGTGTACTATAGTACAGGGACTTTGAGCTGATTTTGGAGTAACTTTAAAAATTCATAAAAAATCCAAATTTGATCGAAATCATCTCAAACTTTCTACACAACATAAGTACATGTATATGTATCAGAAAAAATTATTAAAATGGCAAATTCTCTCCTTTTAAATTTTGGCAAAATTTGGCCAGGGACCATGTACTATAGTACAGGGACTTTGAGCCAATTTTTGAGCAACTTTAAAAACCACTGACAAGAAGCTGAACACTATGCAATAATCTTATGAGAAACCCTGATCGTCATCCTTTAAATGAGACTTCAATATCAAGACATAATCCCCACATAATAATCATAAATACTGGATTATTTGGATCACAATTATCTCCTTCATTATTAATTTCTACGTGTGACTTTGAACCCTTTTAACACTTTGTTTCTTATTCACACCAATAATTATTATGATAACAGTAGGAGTCTGCAAAATGCACTATTCAGTTTCAGGCTTGTATACTATAGTACAGCCTCTCAGAAAGTCAGGGATTGTAGTATAGTAAAACTCACTTGTTTAAAAACTCTTCTAGCCCTTTTCTTCTCTCCTCAATAAAATCATCATCAAAGATGCCTGAGTGTAAAATAACCACAATCAAATTGCACGATAGTGCAAGGAGTAATTAATTGTACAGTGTGTCAAGCAAGGAAATAGCAAAGATACTACATGTACAAGCCAATACTATGAAGTTTGAACCATTCAATAGTGTGTACTGCTAATAAGGAGTTTACTTACCATCATCTCCTCTGAATGGCAACTGCCTCTTAACAGCTTTGCCAGGCAACTGAGGTACAACAATCTAGCAAAATAGACTTAATATTATATACATGTATAATATATTATACACACATTTATATATGGCCATTATAATATAATAAACTGTCTGTTTTAATGGGTAGCCTATAAGGAATATGCTATGACAATTTGACAAGTGGAGCTATTACAACGACTCCAAATATGTCAACAAGTTGAGTGTTCAGAGAACAAAGGTGAAATATTAGCAGACAGCAGTAGTCTTGTAACATTTAAATCTATAATATCTGTAATAAGGTAGCTATGTCAGCACGCATAAGGAAAAAACTATACAGCAAGTGTTTGTTTTAACTATTCAGCACACCAGCAGTCAATGACGTAAGATACGCTCAAATGTGAATGTTGTCATTTATTACTTTGCTATCCCTCTCTAGTTCCTTTTTTAACCACTCGAAATCTCTATATCGTCTCCTAACAGAGGACTCTTTTATTTTGAAGACAGGTATGTTGGTCTAATGAGGCAATACAACAGAGAACAATGACTTTTTGCAACAAGAAGTTAAGTCCTTGCCTTCATTTTGACTTCATAATCGGTGTAGCGAGTTCTAGCTAGTCCATGAGTCTCTGGATTGCTAACTTCTATTTCTAATAAATTAGCCGGTACTGCGTACGCATCGTCTAGTGTCTGCTTCTTAAAGTCAAGCCTCTTTATAGAAGTTTCTGGTGTAGAACCGGTAGCACCGCTTTTTCCATCCGCCATCTTTAACTTTGTTAAAGGGAAGGTGGGTACGCCCATAAACTTAACCATTTTTGCGCATGCGCACAACTGTTAATAAAGTTTATTCTACAGCCCCACCTAAAAATCCAAAATAGAGGCAAAATTTGAAGAATTTACTTACAAATTAAAAATAAATCAATATAAATCAACAACTGATTCACAACTGTCTCTCATTACATCACTAGAACTTGGAATAATTTCTTTCATTTGTTCATCAACTGTTTTGTGCATGCTATCTAAAAGGAGTTCTTGATCGTCTATTGTCCTGGTTGCCTTCCTTAATAGTGCACTGTACCATTTCATGTGCGATAGCTGTAGATAGAAATGATAAACAATGATTGACACAAAGCTAGCAGTAAAAATGGATAAACAAATACTGTACCAGATCTTATTAACAGATTCACTGTGATTCTTGAAAGCTACTGATAGACCAATCATGATGCACAAGTTAAACAGGAACCAAACTTCAATGATATTGTTTATTCTTTTCTTGTAAACTCCACTAAAACAATGCCCTAGTGACAGTACAATAACTAGTACTGTTTGTAGCATAGACAATAAGAAGAAGTGTGATCTAATGAAACTGTCAACTAACGTAACAGACAAAAGAATTGGTAACCTAGCCACTAGCAGTAGACCAGGCCAGAATCGATATTCATCTTTCATTGGGCCACTATAAGCATCAATAATAGGCTTGAATCGACTCCAAAGCTTTCTAAAAATCCTGTAATTTGAGAGGTACTTCTCAAGAAGAGGACTGAATAGGAGAAACAGTGTGTATGGTAAGATGAAGATAATCGACACAAACAGAGCAATTCCAAATAGTCCAGCATGTTTACCTTTAGCATATTCAACATTAGGATCCTCATACCATAAGTTCAAAACAATTGATTTGCTTGTACATTGAACTGTTACCTCACGTTTGTGCAGCACAATCACGATAGTACGTACTAGTTTGGTGTATGAGAGAAGGAAAAGTGTTGATAATACAGGAACAGCATGCGACCCCATCAGTCTTGATATTTTACCATATCTCCTACACACCTGTATAATGACAATAATAATAATCCACAAGTAAAATGGAAAAGCAAACTGGAGCAACTGTTTGACATAGCTGTCCATGCCCTTGTAAAAACAAATTTCAAACCCAAAATCTAAATTAATCCAAGATATCACTTGACTCAATACTGGTATTGTCCTTTCCCTTATAAAAACTGGCTCATATAGCTTGACAATGTTAGCATAAAACAATAGACCATTGAGTGTGCCCACTGATACTGTTAAATTGAGAGCAATCAGGAGAAGCACAAGCATTACACCCATCACTGCAAATAGAGAGACCCAAGCTATCATCATGTAATCATCATGACACTGTCCACACTTGTTTGATCCCAATAGTAGACTGTATTCACCTCTACATGATCCACACATTAATCGTCCTCTATTATCTACACATTGAGCATCAGTGTCATTCAACTTGAAGGTAACAGGATTAGGAGAACAATAGAGGAGACAGTCCTCATTGATAATGCATGCATTAGGATTGGTTGCATTAGCATTGAAAGGTGTACTGGTATGATATGTTCCAATCCACAGTAGACCATTGTGTGTAATGTTTAGAGTATTTATGTCACATGTTACATTTTCTCTTGAAACACTTTGACTGCAAGTACAAATTCCTTGTGAATTGCTTACATTGAAACCAATGGGACACTCATGAATAGTGAAATAAGACTGAACAAAGCGATAGTATTCGTATTTTTTATCTGATGACAATCTAATTTGGTATCTAGTGTAGTTTGGTTGCTTAGGTGAATATTTAATCAATGAACAGTTACTAGTAATGTAAGTATGATTGACCAATACTCCATCAATAAATACATACACTGTACCATCAGTAACACTACTCTGCTCTGCATTATATTCTAGACCAAACAAAGCCACGTTAAACTTTAAACTTTGGCCAGGAAAAATATTCTGTTCTGGTATATTGTAAAAGCAGTTGTGATACTGTACATCATTTTTAAAATTGCAATAACACAATTTATCTGGGATTCCTGATGTCTTTATGATTGGATTTGTAATATTTAGCAGAACATTACAGTCTGATCGAGAAGTAATAATTCCATACATGTCATCACCAGCTACTTTGGCAGTGTTGTTCCAAAAAGTGAAAGATACTGGTGATTCAGAATTGAATTGTAATGATTGAAATGGGCAGGTAGCTATTAAAGTATCATAATAAATCCCTCCTCCTCTATAAGATGCATAATTATCTATAAACTTAATTGAAGCTTCTGGTGAAAAAACTAGATAAGATGTCGCATTCATCTGTAGGCCTCCTCCAGTCACTCCTGTGTTGTTTCTGAATACTAAACTATTATAGACTGTTACAATTGAGCCTATTAGTATCAGTCCTGTTGATAGACTATTGGCAATAGTAACATTGCTCAAAAAAATAGAATGACAATTTAATATGTTGTTTATCATATTACCTGCAAGCTTAGTATCTATAATGCTAATGGTTGATGCCAAAAAGCTCCCATCAATGTGCAGGCCACCATTAAGATTATCAAATATTGCACTCAGTTTAATGACAATATTAAGAGCACTATTAAATCTAGTATAGCCTCCTTTGATAACTACTCCCCATTCATTGCCAAAACTTTGACTGTCTTCAATAAGAAGAGTAGAAACTAGCCGAACCCCATCAATATCACAAGTTACATTTGTGTACCTCATTGTTTCTATTCTGAGACCTATTGCTGATGTACTATCATAAAATGATGAATGAGTGACAACTGCATTAAAAAGAGATGCATGAAGGATGAAGTATATGCTACCATTCCTACTGTAATCTATCCGTTTGCTAATATTAACATGATCAATGATGATTGACAGATTGTATGATGTACTGTACTTAAGATTTATTTCAATCATTCTACCGAACAAAGAAACATTAACCAACATCAGTGAGTAATGATGCAATTTATGGTGGCATGTTTCTTTAGGTGGGTTGTATAAAAACTGCACAATTATGTTTGTAAAACTTGAAGAAAATAAGTTGACATCAAAAGCATTTGAGAATATAACATGTACACCATAATCATCAGGGCTAGCTTTAAAAGAAGAGCCAGTTATTGTTATATTTTGAGAATAGTAAAGTCTTGTGTAGCAGTTATGGAATGATACATTAGACAATGAAACGTGACTGCTGTGTTTAATACTGAACTCGCTTTTATGATTTCTGCATTTTACAATTGGAACATTGTCCACTTCCAACATTCCATGTAAAGCAATATTATCCACTGAATCAATTGTAATACTAGAGTTAATATTACTTGTTCCAATGAAGTAGAAGATTGCATTATTGAATTGAGATATATTCTGAGCATACACTGATAAAGCATCACAAGGTGTATGAGCAACTGAGCTGCAGTTATCAGATACATACAGGACCTTTATGTACTCTTGATGAGAAGAGACATCAGAGGAGCTAATGGAGAGTAGGAAAACAGCTAATAAGAGGAGACACATCTCTTGTGTAAAAAAAGCAGCAATTCAGTAGACTAATACTATGAGTGCAGACTTTTATATATAAACAGAATCACTATTGCTATGTAGTAAGATAGAAGCCTTCATGTAAAACCGTAAGTGATAGATCATACACATAAATCTGATTATGGGCAACGCCCTATGCCTTTTATGTACTTTCAAAACTATATAAATAACCACAGCTTGCCTCTGCTTGTTTATCCCAAGAAATAAAATACACTGTACCTGCAAATGCTAATCTCAATGTGACATCACTAGTCATGTCAAGAGTATAAATAATAGGGTCATGTCCATACAAAATTTTGATAAATTAATTCACACAAAACGCCCACGCAAACAAATTATAACTACTCCAAATAACTTTTAATAACTAGACTTAACTTTTAATAAGTAGCCCCACCTAGCAACCGCAGTTACAGACAGTTCTTGCAAATGCCTGGTAAAAAGAAGAAGGGAGGCAAGAAAGGAGGCAAAGGAAAAGGCGGGGGAGGTGATGGAGGCTTACCTCCACCACCTGACTTCTCTGACAGCAGACAAAGTGCTCTAGAGGCTCTTTATGCATACAGGTCAGCGCAAGAGTGAATGCTACCAAGTTGCAACTCAACTTAATCATTAGGATCACAGGAAAGAAAGACGTTATTGACATATTTGCTGAAGAAGCAGAATCTATGAAGGACAGAAATTACCAGCAAAAGCAAAAGGTGGATATAATAATGTTTCAGTGTTTCTTTAAAGCAGAGCCACAATGTGTATATATATAGAATTACTCAATTAACCAAGAAAAAGGACGTCATTTAGAAACACTGATTGAAGAAGCCAAAGAGTTTGAGAAGAAAATATCCCAGTCAGAGACAGTTGGGAGGGAAGATGTGGAAAAAGCCATGCTCGACAAACTTGATATGGTGAGAAAGGCAAGACAAGACATTGCCAACTTAGTAACGGCCATTGATGAGGAAGACAAGAAATTAGACTATGCCTACAAGGAATTATCTAGACTGAGAGACTATAAGGTAATATATGCATGAATAGACCACAAAAGTTTGAGTATAAACTGCAGGATAGAGTACAACACGAAAGAAAAAATTACATAGCTAGCATGAAGGAAGCTATGGTCAGCTGGAAAAAAGCGGAGAAAAATATTGAAGGTATCTTCCCATGCATTCATCCCTTGATGTTGATTGTTTAAGCAGAAGAGCTTACAAAGGAACTTGAAGTGTCTAAAGCTCGTGTGGATCAGAGACTTTCATTGCTTGCTGAGATGCAGAAAGAGAAAGTGTCAGAGGTAAAGGTTTACAACGACAAAAATAATAATTATTAAAAATACCGTAGAGACTACTTCTCACAATGGACAGCAGTGCTATAGGAGAGATATCAGACAACAGTTGGCTAAAGCAACAAGTAATAAATAATCACGATACAACTGTGCTGAAGGATTTTATTCTATAGATATCATTTTTGCAAGATATGGAGAAAAAGCTCCAAAGTGATGTTGACAACTTGGAGAGGCGAAACCTCGAAGTAATGGGTAGAATATATCATACGCAGCACATTGAGCTAGAGACAGCCCAGAAACTATTCTCAATACCAGGGAACCACTCAACACTAATTGACTCCAGCAGCTCTGATGCACTATCAAGAAACCCGTCCACTAACAAGGTAATGATGACACTGGCTTGCTTGCTACTACTTTATGTTCTTATACTATAGCTTTTTAGTCGTCAGCTTGATCTGGGACTGCTGTCAGTTGAAGGGAATACTTTCAATTTGAGGCCAGTCCCTGAGCACATTCGCCTTCCACCAATACTAGAGCAAAGGAATCAGAGTGTTCCTGCACAGACTTGGCCAGTAACTGGGAAAATGTTAAAAGCCATTACATGAGATTGAGAATAATGCATTATATATAATACATACTAGTGATATCAAAATTAATGTTTAATCAGTTTTCTTTTTATTACTAATTCTTGCATCATCTGGTACCATTTTGTGAATCCTGTCCCCAAACTCTGATGCCTAAAAGGTCAAGTGATAATAAGTTATGAGTGAATCAAAGGAAACTGTTAAAAAGTGTGGAATTTAATTTTTTGCATTTACCAGTTGCCCCATAACTTAAACATTCTACAATTGAAATTGAGAATTGGAAATACTGTGCACTATAGCTCATGGTCTTTAGCCCAATTTTTAGTAACTTTAAAAATTCGTAAAAATCCAATTTTGATCGGAATCAGCTCAAACTTTCTTTGTATTTGTAACGTGAGTTTATATCATGATAGGTCATTTTTAGTTGGCACATTTTTAAAGCATTAAAAACTTACATTTTTAATTCCTAGAGCATATTTAATTGACAATACTAGACCACTGACTCCCACTACAGCAAGAACTGTCCCAAATCCCAAAGCTCTCATTGCCAGGCGGGCTGGATTCACTTGACCTTGTACTGCATTCCTTGAAAAAGCTTCTGGGCTCTTTCTTCTCGCCAAACCTACTGACACACCAAATGCACCAATAAATGAGACTGCTGCAACACTTCCAACAACAAATAAAGTGCTAGAGTCACTTGGCATTATTTAGGATAATGCCACACCTATAGTGACCCACACACGTGTTGACACGTGGTTACGTGGTAAATTAAAATTAATTTTATTTCAAAAATCATCAGTGAGGATTGAGAAGCTGACAAAAATTAAAATGATCGTAATGCTAATTTGCTTTTTTCTGTATAATTTTTACCATTAATGCAATTCCAATTACCACAGGGGTTAAACCCAGGAGCGTAGAGCCAAGCACAATAAAATAACGGTTAGATTTAAGCTCCTTGTTACACTCCTTAGTATATCGGTTCAGTATATCTTCAGGTGATGTACCTACTCTGCTTGGTAGAAACTTCCTTCCTTCCTGTTCTGAATCAATACAATGACCATACAAGCCAACCATAGTGCCATATGGTAGTATACACTCAGTTGTCTCAATCTCTAAGTCATAGCCATTGTATTTAAAACCGGCATAGAGTTTCTGCTGTTCTTCAGGACAAGGTTCTGTCTCTTTGAAAACTTCATGGTTCATCATTAGTGCATTAAAGTAGATTGCACTGTCAAAGCTATTCACAGTGATGGATTGTCCTTTATTGTCTGTTAGTGCAAAATCAACAGAGCTGTGATCATCATGCGTCAAATAATATTTACGTTTCCACCATCCTCTGGGCTTAGGGTATTCCTTCCTCTCGATTTCCATTTTCGTTAAAATCTTAAAGTGTCGTTTGGCTGCACCTTTTGGTGACGTGTCCGTGTCCCCTGGCAATATAACACCAAACTGACTAGCAGCTGTAAGTATTGAAGAAACATCCTTCATACCCATACCAGGGACAATATCATTGACTCTACTGGCCACGTTAGACATTGAATCAAGTTTCTCTCTGCTCCTTTTCTCAGCTTCACAAGTAGCTGTAACTTCTAAACGTCTTCCGTCTTCTCTCACTATAGGATTAATGACCCCATTTATGAAAAACTCTACGTTTATCTCTGCATTTCTAACGTCCTCAATCTTCTTCACTGGGCTGTTCTTCATTCTTTTCAAGGAGCTCTTAGTCTCAACGTACCCTATGATGCCTAGTACCAATAAAGCGGCTCCATGGATGCCCATAGGGAATCCAAAAACCAACGTCAGGTAAATAGTATCTCCCAGCAAACCCATCCTGATTCCTGGAGGAAAGTAGCCCTTCTTCTTAGTTCTTAAAAATTAATAAAGTGGTGGGTGGAGCCACGGATCATTAAAGAAAATTAATCAAATAAATTTTATGAAAAATTATTTTGTGAATCTTACACTTTTAATTTTTAAGATGCAAATTTTAAAGGTGCAAATTCTTTGTGATTAATGGGTGGGTGAGTAGGGCTAGTAGAATAGGGATCATAATTAAAATCAATTTTCTTATATCAAAAATAAATTAATGATTATTATTGAGGAGCTGACAAAATAAAAATGATTACAATGTTAATTTGCCTTTTTCTGTATCATATTCACTACTAACACAGTTCCAACTACCACTGGGATTAAACCCAGGACTGTAGAGCCAAGTACAATTAAGTTAAGGTGAGATTCAAGCTCCTTGTTGCACTCCTCAGTATATCGGTTCAGTATATCTTCAGCTGATGTACCTACTTTGCTTGGTAGAAACTTCCTTCCTTCCTGTTCTGAATCAATACAATGACCACACAAACCAACCATAGTGCCATATGGTAGTATACACTCAGTTGTCTCAATTTCTAAATCATAGCCATTGTATCTAAAACCAGCATAAAGTTTCTGCTGTTCTTCAGGACAAGGTTCCGTCTCTTTGAAAACTTCATGGTTCATCATTAGTGCATTAAAGTAGGTAGCACAGTCAAAGCTATTCACAGTGATGGATTGTCCTTCATTGTCTGTTAGTACAAAATCAACAGAGCTGTGATCATCATGCGTCAAATAATATTTACGTTTCCACCATCCTCTGGGCTTAGGGTATTCCTTCCTCTCGATTTCCATTTTCGTTAAAATCTTAAAGTGTCGTTTGGCTGCACCTTTTGGTGACGTGTCCGTGTCCCCTGGCAATATAACACCAAACTGACTAGCAGCTGTTAACAATGAAGAAACATCCTTCATACCTGTACCAGGGACAATATCGTCAACTCTACTGGCCACGTTAGACATTGAATCAAGTTTCTCTCTGCTTCTTTTCTCAGCTTCACAAGTAGCTGTAACCTCTAAACGTCTTCCATCCTCCCTCACTATAGCATTAATGACCCCATTTATGAAACAATCTATATTTATCTCTGCATCTCTAACGTCCTCAATCTTCTTCACTGGCCTATTCTTCATTCTTTTCAAGGAGGCTTTGGTATCAGTGTATTGCATGATGCCTAGCATCAAACAAACGGCTCCAGTGATGCCCCCAGGCAATCCAAGAACCAACGTCAGGTAAATAGCATCTCCCAGCAAACCCATCCTGTTCTAGTCTACCTGATTCCTGGAGGAAGATGAGAGAAGTGGCCCTAATGATTTGATTTGTTCCCAAAAGATGGGCGGAGTCACAAATCATTAAAAACTTTAAAAATTAATTTTCATGAAAATTATTTTTAAGAATAACATTTTAAATCTTTAATAAAAGATGCAAAATATAAAAATGATTGCTGGAAATTATCAATGATATCTATTACAGACTCCTACTGTTAGACTTCAGCAGCATACTAATGATTGCAGAGCCACAAAAAATGAGCCCAACTACTATATGAAACACAGCGAATCTCTTAATTCCTGGATCCGCTGAACTATGTATCATTGAATCCAGTGGCTTTGAGCTAACGTGCACTGGTGTGACAATGACATCGTCTCTGGATGACCTTCCAGGACGTGGTTTGACTTTACCATACACAGTAATGGATTTGCCAATCTTTACTATCCTCTCTTTTATGAATACTTGACAGGGATACAGAAGTAGAGGGAGCTCTCTTCTTTGTATAGGGAATGTCAGGGTTTTGCTTTCGTCCACTTTTTCTTCGTTTTTCATGTATGATAATAAGTCTCTGAAACCATCAGCACGGTGAATGTGCTCTATCCTAACGGACTGAGTCTCGTCGTATTTGTTCACCAATAGGAAGCTCACAGATGAGACTGACTCTTTCTCGGAGAGCGTTATCTTTTTATCGTACCACGCCATGTCTTGCGGCCTAAATATGCTTTCTTTTCTAATCCTTGTCTCCACGAGAGCCACCCCCTCCATCTCTGGTTTAAAGGAAGACCTGAGGACCTCGTCAGACTCACACGGTTTAATGATTCCTTCAATTAAAACTTCCTTCTGCTTTACTTTGCCATTAGGCTTCACAGTAAAGTACTCACCCAGCCTTTTGAAGTCTTTACAGTGACTTGTGTCCACCATGGCAACCTCTTTCGGGACATAGAGGTTCTCATTAAATGCCAGCCAACATCCAAAGCTGGTGAGACCTACTCCCACAGCAGCAAAGGCCCAAGCTCCACCACTACAGTCAAACCCTAGTTTCTCCATTGTTGCAATTATTAATTTTGTAGAAATCTAGCCACACCTTCATTTTAATGCTTAACCACTCCCTTAACTTTTCCATCGCCATTTTGTCTCTAGAAGAGAGGGTGAGAAACTCTGTGGGAAGAGATTCTTAGCAGTCTTTTAGTCTGTCATGACGCAGAGGAAGTGGCGTGTGTTCCCTGGTAACAACCGGTTCTATTGCAACGGGCTCCTCATGAGCTCCACTCAGGTTGCTGTGTTCCTCTTTGTCATAGTTGCTGTGATCGTCACTGCTTGTCTCTTCTTCGCCTTTGAGTGAGCAAAAGATTAAAATTTTGCTGTTAATTGCCAGCAAGGATGCTATTTGAGTCTTAGAGTGCTGATGCGTCTGCGATAAAGCTTTGGGGTTGGGCACACATGTATTTTAATTAATTAATTATTGAGCTTATTTTGTACAGCCTTTCTCAAAACTACATGTGCATGTATGTCATGGGAAAATTTGACTATTGAATTGAGCAGCACTCAAGTGTGACCTTTAATTGTGTCCATTGATTTGCTTAAAACCAATGGACCAGAGATAGTGTATTGATTACTTACAGCCACTTGTCAATGGCTTGAGTTGATTAGCTATACCAGGTGCTTGGCGAGTTTAGCCATGTTGACACATGATTTAAGTAATGTACACACACACACACAAAAATACCATAACTTTAACACGTGGTATTAAGAGATGATTATTGATTAATAATTATAGTAGAATTAGTAAGTATAATTAAGAGTGGTATAATGTCATTAACTGTCACTATTTTTTCTAGCTGTCGGTTCCTAATACAATATGTACACCCAGGGACCATCCCACTAGCACTGATTGGATTATTGGGAGCATTCTATGTTCTCATGTTCCTCCTCAAGGCTGGTTGTACTGATCCTGGCTTTATACCACGAGCTAGACAAGACGAAGCCCATTATAATCAAGGACTAGGAGAACCTGGTAAGCAGTAGCACTTTATGTTAGTTATACCGTATATGCCATATATTTTGTGGATATAAAATTTTGCGATTTGGCTACATTTTTGTATTTGTGAATAAATTTTTTTTTTTGCGATTTTAATGTAATTACCACACCTATTATATAATCGACACGCTATTTTGCTGATTTTAATTTTGTGAATTTTTTTCAAAGCACAAAAATTGCGAAATTTAATCCCCGCAAAATATATGGCATATACAGTGATCCTTAAATGAGCCCCTTTTTTCTAAGCTTGCAATATAATTATTATAATTATTTATATTTGATATTTCAGATCCCAATACAACCAGTACTGGCTATGTGGGAGGGACTCCGTCCAAATACAGGACGGTAGAAATCCACGGGCAGCAAATTAAACTCAAATACTGCGTGACATGTAACATGTTCAGACCCCCACGTGCTTCTCACTGTGGGCTCTGTAATAATTGTGTAGGTAAGCAATATCTAATTGGACAATGGGTACATGTACACGTTCTTCCCATTGAAATATTGATTGGGAATGGTGTTTTAGCCTTCCAAGTTTCCCGAGTGTTTTAGTGAAATTTTATCTAGAATCTTTTTATTAGATAATTTAGATGATGTATGTATATGTGCATGGATTTGATGCTAAATAGATATGAGTTTTAATGACCTTTTATTAATGAGAATTGTTTTAATACTTGTAGAAAACTTTGATCATCATTGTCCTTGGGTGAGTAACATTCTTTCTTCTTTCTTTCCTCCTCCTCTCCTACCCTTCCCTGTCTCTTCCTTATATTCTCCATTATATAATGTTAAAAATTACAGAAATTTTTGATCATCATTGTCCTGCTGTAAGTTGACATATTCTTTAGTAGCCCTAGCCTCTTACATTTTTTTATAATTTTATTCTTTAGAGCTGCAGATGTATAGCTTTTGATTTTTACTTTTTGTTTTTTTATAGGTTGGGAATTGCGTTGCAAAGAGAAATTATCGTTATTTTTATTTGTTCCTCGTCTCCATGTGTATAATGGGTCTATATGTTATGAGTATTAATATAACTGTCATGGTCTTAGGTAAGTATATATATTCAGTATTGTATTATAGACATACATAATTTTATTTATGTACATGTACATTTCAATAGACAATGATAAATAATAGTATTGCTATAGCTATTCAGTTTCTTTTCAATAGCAATCTTCTTTGTCCTTAATTGCTGTGATAGCATTCTGACAGATAAAATACTGTTGTGTATTGTATTGTGTGTTTGTATATCTCTCGTATATTATTATTTTCATTTCAGCTTCTAGAATGGTTGGATTTGTCAATGCTTTAAAGACATACCCAGCAACATATCCTTTTATAATTATATTAATTACATCACATATTACATACATGTACACACACACACACACACACACACACACACACACACACACACACACACACACACACACACGCATGCACACATGCACGCACTGCTTTAGTCAGTGTTCTTAGGTACTAACAGTTGTGAAGATAATACTCAATGCATTCACTGATGCTATGCTAAGATGATCTCATTCCGTTATATTCATTCCTATTTCCTTAACAAACTGTCATATACTGTTATAGAGTTTTTCATTAGTGGATTTGCAGTTATTGCAGTGTTTGGGTTAGCTTGCTATCACACACAACTTATTGCTACCATGAAAACCACCAATGAAGAGGTAGGCCTTTGTGCTCTACATACTCTAATAACAGTGTTCAATGTACACATACATGTAGCAGTAGATTATATGATATGGCAAATAATTTTGTGCTGGGTTTCCCACAGGGCATGCTAAGGAAGCAAAGAAGGCTGCTTTATAAGTTGACAAGCCTAATAGCATATTGAGCAACTTTGATTGGAATCAACTCAAACTTTTTACACAGCATAAGGACATGTATGTGTATCAGAAAAAATAATTATAAAAATGAAGAATTCTCTCCTAGCCATTTTTGATGAAATTTGGCCATTTGAAGACCCTGTACTATAGTATAGGGACTTTGGGCCGATTTTTTTTAGCATTAATAAAAAATCCAGATTTGATTGGAATCAGTTTTAAATTTCAACACAACTTAAGGACACATATATGTATTTGTATCAGACAACTCTGTTCTTTCCTTGTTTGATGGAATTTGAAATACCAATATTTGTCAAGTTTTTAAGTAAAATTCACTGACAAGAGCCGAGCACTTAGCCAAAATCCTGTGGGAAACCATGACTTTGTATAGTAACCCTGTTCACTATTGATGAGTTATTTTGTTCCCACAATGTTTACGAGTATTTGGCATGTAATTAACTCTTGGCCACGTTACATGTAGTACATTTTATACATTGTGTAGTACTATATAATGAAGAATTGTATTATGTGGACCACTGAAGGTTTAATGTTTTATTTTAAAAAACTCCAAACAAAAGAAACTACAATGTGTTCTAAGGTCACTACATGTATGCATATGGACTACACTACACTGTCATTGTTCCTTTAGCTCTTAGTTAGAGTATCAGGCTCTGCAGTTCATTAGGTGTCAGGACACTAGCATATATACGAGATTCTTCAATCAGCATATCCAAGTTTCCTGGTCCACCATTTGTACTGCCATGACGTAATCCCCAGAATATCTCTGTATCTCCTCTTGGCCAAACTCCTAATGGTCCTTTGGTGTACTCTCCAAACTTGATTCCATCGTGGTAGAGCCTTACGTGTGCTTGACCATTATTGTTTCTATATGTAATGGCAATCTGGTTGTAAACTTTAGTATTTGTTTCCTGATACCCTGGAGTAGCATCTATTGTACGTATGCCGTTGCTACTTCCAGACATCCATCGATGAGATTGACGTTCTCCATACACAATAGCATCAAATTCATCAGTGGTACATTTATCAATAGTCAATGCTGATCCAGACTGTACGTTTGGGTTCTGTATCATCACCCATGATACCAGTGTCTTCTCTGATATTGATGGCCCTGTGTATGAAGGAGCAATGGCCCATTTACCTGCACCTACATCTAGCTTCCCATCTTGTATCACTGCTCCTTTTAGCACAATGTCTCCAAAGTTTCCGGTGAGATCCTCAAGTTCTTGTCCTTTCTCAAAAGTCCAGTGACCGACTAGTGAGCTAAGGACAACTTTGTCATGAGCGTGGGTACATGCTATTATGAAAAAAATACAAAATAGAGTGTACTTCATTTTTGTTTGACTCTTTTGGTTATAGGTTGCTATATTGTGTTCTCTCTCTTAAAGATTATTCTTCTTGGCTCTGCTTCTGCTTCCTCTTTTTACCTTTTTGGGGCCCTATTTAACTTAGACTCTACCTGTATGACAAATTCCACTTTAAGGGGTGCTGCCTATAGCAACAATTATGTTATGCAGGAATGTTTAAGTCATACAAGTGTCCCATATAAGAATCTTAATAGACTCTTTATGCTCCTCTAAAAATGGGCTTCTATTTAATGAAACACCTTTAGGAAAAAGGGAGTGAAAATACTGGCGCTACCCAAGAAGCTATAAAATAACAGTTAGATTATATAATTGGTGTTGCATGCTTTAAAAATGCAAACTTTTGAAAAACTCTCCCTATGGATAATCAGACTAAATTTACAACAGAGCCTTTTTACATGATTACACATACAGTAACATAAAGATATTCTGATTAAACAGAGCTAGTTAGTAAAATATGGTGTCGGTCAATAAGAAATTTAAAATTATTGATATTACAGTAGAAAAAGAGGAATATTTATATGTTAATCAATTTGTTTAGTTAAAAACTGCCTTCACCTAGAAATCTAGTTATTCAAATTGAAAATAAAGGGAGTTTTTTTGGTTTTGAAAATTCTTCAGTGTTTTAACATATCCTTTTATAATTACCATAGGGCGCCTTTTTTTTCAAGGGCTGTAAATTTTGCGAATTTGCCTTAAAATCAATTTCGCAGATTTAGTTTTTGTGAATTTATACTGTCTGCCATTTTGTGCTGTAATAATTTGATTTTTGCGGAAGTAATTTTCATGAATCTTTAAGAAATTGCAAAAATCGCGAAATTTACAGCTCTTGAAAAAAAGGTGCCCTACAGTATTAGGGCAAAGCCCTTACTTATGAGAATTTATGTATGTATATATGTAAGTGTATGTTTGGGGGCGTGACTGGGAGGTGTGACCAGGAGGCAGAACCTCCTCAAATTTTTACATTCTTTCTAGTATTAATAAATGTAGAATAAATATTGAGCAACTTTTAAAATTGATAAAAAAATTAAATTTGATTGGAATCAACTCAAACTTTCTACACAGCATAAGGACATGTATGTGTATCAGAAAAATTATAAAAATGGAAATTCTCTCCTAGCCATTTTTGATGAAATTGGCCAAAGACCTTTTGGGCCGATTTTTGAGCAAATGTAAAATTCATAAAAATCTAAATTTGATTGAAATTAGCTTAAACTTTCTACACTACATAAGAACATGTACATGTATATATGTCAAAAAACGCTATCCTAGCCTTGTTTGATGGAATTTGACAAAAAAACAAATACCAATATGGGGATATTTTTTAAAGTTTTTGAGCAACTTTAAAATCCACTTACAAGAAGCTGAGCACTCAGCCAAATCCTGTGGGAAACCCTGATTTTGTATAGTAACCCTGTTCACTATTAATGAGTTATTTTGTTCTCACAATGTTTATGAGTATTTGGCATGTAAAATACTCTTGGCCACGTTACATGTACACGTAGTACATTTTGACATTGCAAAGTGTACTATCACTGAATATGGGTAATGTATAATAAGTTATTGGGTAATTGTATCATGTGGACCACTGAAGGTTTAATGTTTTATTATCAAAAAAAAACTTCAAATGAAATTAACTACAATGTGTTCTAAGGTCACTACATGTATGCATATGGACTACACTACACTGTCATTGTTCTTATTGCTCTTAGCACAGTGGCCTCAGACTCTTCAGTTCTTCAGGTGTCAGTACACTAGCATATATACGAGACTCTTCAATCAGCATATCCAAGTTTCCTGGTCCACCTCTTGTATTGCCATGACGTAATCCCCAGAATATTTCTGCATCTCCTCTTGGCCAAACTCCTAATGGTCCTTTGGTGTACTCTCCAAACTTGACTCCATCGTGGTAAAGCCTCACGTGTGCTTTACCATTATTGTTTCTATATGTAATGGCAATCTGGTTGTAAACTTTAGTATTTGTTTCGTGATACCCTGGAGTAGGATTCCGCTCTGTACGTTTGCCGTTACTACTTCCAGACGCCCATCGATGAGTTTGAAATTCTCCATACACAATAGCATCAAATTCATCAGTGGAAAGCTTATCAATAGTCAGTGCTGATCCGGACTGTACATTTGGGTTCTGTATCAATACCCATGATACCAGTGTCTTCTCTGATATTGATGGTCCCGTGTATGAAGGAGAAATGGCCCATTTACCTGCACTTACATCTAGGTTCCCATTTTGTATTACTGCTCCTTTTAGCACAATGTCTCCAAAGTTTCCTATGAGATCCTTAAGTTCTTGTCCTTTCTCAAAAGTCCAGCGACCAACCAGTGAACTAAGGACAACTTTGTCATGAGCGTGGGTACATGCTATTATGAAAAGAATGCAAAATAGAGCGTAGTTCATTTTTCTTTGACTCTTTTGGCTATAGGTTGCTGTATTGTGCTCTCTCTCTCTCTTTCTCTCTTAAATATTATTCTTCTTGGCCCTGCTTCTGCTTCCTCGTTTATTTTCCTTTTCCTTTGTTTTCCCTCTCTCTCCCATGATGCATTTTCCATCTTTCCTTCACATTCTCTGAATATTAGTCATTCATTACTGGCTGATCTATTGTCAAGTTCTGTCTTTTAATTTTTGGACTGTGAGCATACCATATTGATTCTCTGTTGATGCTCCTTTAATTTTTTATAGTATAATACTTTTTTATTATGCATATGCTTGCATTCAATGATCTTAACACATGTACATGTATATATACTGTCCTTTTGGCATGTTCTGCTGTCCTAGATTGACTTGAGGAAATGAGAGTACTTTCATGTTCCATAGTAATAGCTTGATTTGCTTCACCCATGTATGCATGTATATACATGATATTTATTCCACAGTTTTACTGTACAAACAAATATAGACAAAAAAGGAGATAAGTAAACATAGTCATCGCGGACTCTTGGTAAACATGTGTATAAATGGGTATCAAGCATTTTACATTAGCCTATGCATAGGAATAGAGATAACCTAATTTGTTGCAATCCAGTCTTATTTACCATAAACAGGTTTTAGCTTGTTAAATAAAAGGGTTAAGTTAGTAATAGCATTTTACTTCATTTTAGCTGTACATGCATGCAGTATCTGCATCAAGTGTATTTTAATGGACTATACTCTCCTTTCCATTTAAACAAATGAACATTTAGCGTACTAAAACTAACTACAGTATCTGCATATCATTATATTGTTCAGTTCTTAGCAACATGGCCTCAGACTCTTCAGTTCTTGAGGTGTCAGGACGCTAGCATATATACGAGACTCTTCAATCAGGGCATCAAGGCGTCCAGGTCCACCATTTATATTGCCGTGACGTAATCCCCAGAATATCTCAGCATCTCCTCTTGGCCAAACTCCTAATGGTCCTTTGGTGTACTCTCCAAACTTGACTCCATCGTGGTAAAGCCTCACGTGTGCTTGACCATTATTGTTTCTATATGTAATAGCAATCTGCTCCAAAAAACTAGTATTTGTATTGTAATACCCTGGAGTTGGATTTATTGTACGTTTGAAGCCGCTACTTCCAGCCATCCATCGATGAGATTGACGTTCTCCATACACAATAGCATCAAATTCATCAGTGGAAAGTTTATCAATAGTCAGTGCTGATCCGGACTGTACGTTTGGGTTCTGTATCATCACCCATGATACCAGTGTCTTCTCTGATATTATTGGTCCTTTATATGAAGGAGCAATGGCCCATTTACTTGCACTTACATCTAGCTTTCCATCTTGTATCACTGCTCCTTTTAGCACAATGTCCCCAAAGTTTCCAGCTAGGTCTTTAGTTTCTTGTCCATACTCAAATGTCCAATACCCCACCAGGGTTCTGCTCAAAAGTGTGTCGCAACCATGAGTCCTTGCTATTATGATAAGAAGGAAGCAGAAGTAAAAGAGAAGACACTTCATATTCTGAAAGTACTGATGCTTTCTGTCACGCATTGACACTACGGCAACTGCCAACAAGGAACTAAGGACTATTACTGCACTTTTTCTATTTGTCTATAAAGTTTTGACACTTGTCACTTTCATTGTTATTGTATTGTGTAAGGTCAAAGGTCATTCGAACCTTTTAGGTTGCTGGCTAAGTCTAAATTTTTGTTATAACTGTAGCTCTTCTTAAGTCCTGGTTCCAGTTCTAGTTCATTAAACTACACCTTATCTGTCTCGTGTAGAAAAGAATAAAGTCTAATTGATCATACATTGTTAACTTACATTTCATGTAGTATTAATCTCCTGTTTGTCACTCTTAGTTAGTTTATGTGTATTATATCTGTTGCACAGTGTCTCAATTTGTGTCATAATTAAATTAAGATTATATTGACAGCTAATGCTTGCTTATAGCATATGATAGTCTCTTTACCATATTTCTTTATACATGTAATAATGTTTTGTTTTCTTAATCAGTTGTTTTTTAATACTTTTACTGTTTTTTGTTAGTTTAGTTTAGCATGTGCTAAAAGTTGTTGATAATATGTGACATTGTTTGATAGTTCTGTTGCTTATTTTGACACTGATATCACATTCACTATGGAAGTATCTCACTTGATGTTTTACAAACACATGAGGGATTTTGTTGATACTAATTATAACAAGCAGTTCATTTATAATGACATTACTTACTGTCATAATGTTCACTAGCTATACATGTACATGCAATAAAGTGTTGCTCTTTGCAAGGATTTTGACTCAACTGTTATCATTTTTAGTTGTTTTTGTGGCCAATTGACTTTCTTGCTTTGCAACGCGGCTTAAAATTTTAATTCATTATTATTGTGAACTTGCTAAGAAACAAAACAATAAAACCAACTACAAAAAGAAGTAAACAAATGTCCATGACTAATGACTACACTACTGATCAGTTCAACCCATCATAGCTAATACTGTATTATCTATGATTTTACTTGTTTAGTCGAAGCTTGACCAATTCTTGGGGCTTCAGTACAGTTGTATATATTCGGGATTCCTCTATTTCGGCATTAATCCTCCCAGGGCCACCATTTGTGTTACCATGACGTATGCCCCAGAATACCTCAGTATCACCTCTTGACCAAATTGCTATGTATCCTTTTGTGTAGCGTCCAAATAAGCGTCCATTCACGTAAAGTCTCACGTGAACCGAACCACGCATATTTTGATATGTTATGGCAATCTGGACGGGGTTTGTGCTACCAATGTAACCTGGCCTAGGGTCTGTTGTACGACGAAAGAAACTACTTCCAGACATCCAGCGATTAGCTTCCCTTTCTCCATACACAATGGCATCAAATTCATCAACGCTTATCTTGTCAATGGTCAGTGCTGATCCAGCCCGTACCCGCGTGTCTGTGAGCCTTACCCACGATACCAGCGTCTTCTCTGATATTGTTGGCCCTGTGTATTTTGGAGACACGGCCCACCCCTGACGGTGAACAATTAGTTTCCCATTTTCTATTCTAGCTCCTTTCAATAAGATATCAGCAAAGTTTCCCGTGAGGTCTTTGAGCTTTTTTCCTTCCTCAAATGTCCAATGACCGACAAGGGAGCTCTTAGCAATGTCATCACAAGCATGAGTGCATGCTATAGCACTTAGCAGGCAGAGGAGAAGGTACTTCATTTCTTGTCTTTGATGTCTGATATCTTAACACTTGCTCGTTCCACTTTTATAACTGAGATTGTTTTATTTTCACTGTTATTCCGTGTTATTGGATTATCATAACTGTAATGTACCAAAGTTTTGTCCCCATTCTAGTTGTATAATGAATTAATTTGTTCAGTTGTTTTTTTTTATTTCAAGGTTGTATGTTGCTTTAGTTTAGCATGTGCTAAAGTTGTTGTTCATAATAAGTGGCATTGTTTGTTAGTATTGATAGTTTAATTGTTTATTATTTTGACGCTGATGCCACATTCACTATGGAAACTGTATGCTACATATACTTGAGAGATTGTGTTGATATTGATTGTAGTTGTATAGGGGGCAGGCGATCAGATCTCCCATCAATAAGTATTATTACTATTTACTATTAACCTTTATTGATTGACATTAAAATTCAATAACTTGTCATTTCTGCTGTGTTTTTTGTTCACAGTTCTTATTACATTAATTATGTTCATTTCTATACATGCACTGAACCATTGCTCTTCTCTGTTTTATGTACTATGGAAGGTTTTTAGAGTCAATTATTATCATATTTATGTTTTTGTTGCTTTGCGACGTGACTTGAATTATTAAATTCTAAAAACTTGCTAAGAAACAAAACAATAAAACCAACTACAAAAAGAAGTAAAAAGTGTTCATAACTAATAACTACACTACTGATCAGTTCAACCCATCATAGCTAATACTGTATTATCTATGATTTTACTTGTTTAGTCGAAGCTTGACCAATTCTTGTGGCTTCAGTACAGTTGTATATATTCGGGATTCCTCTATTTCGGCAGAAATGCTCCCAGCACCGCCTGTCTTTGAGTTACCTTGGCGTGGACCCCAGAATACCTCAGTATCACCTCTTGACCAAGATGCTATGTATCCTTGCCTGTAATGTCCAAATAAGCGTCCATTCACGTAAAGCCTCACGTAAGCAAACCCACGCATATTTTCATATGTTATGGCAATCTGGACGAGTTTTGTACCGAGGTCTATAAAGCCTGGCCTAGGGTCTCTTGTACGACGAAAGAAACTACTCCCAGCCATCCAGCGATAAGATTCCCTTTCTCCATACACAATGGAATCAAATTCATCAACGCTTATCTTGTCAAGGGCCAGTGCTGACCCGGCCCGTATGTGTGGGTTTCTGATCCTCACCCACGATACCAGCGTCTTCTCTGTTATCGATGGCCCTGTGTATGAAGGAGACACGGCCCACTTGCCAGTTTTAACTAGTAGTTTCCCATTGTATGTTATAGCTCCTTTTAATACAATATCTGCAAAGTTTCCCGTGAGGTCTTTGAGCTCTTTTCCTTTCTCAAATGTCCAATGACCGACAAGGGAGCTCTTAGCAATGTCATCACAAGCATGAGTGCATGCTATAGCACTTAGCAGGCAGAGGAGAAGGTACTTCATTTCTTGTCTTTGATGTCTCATATCTTAACATTCTTCCACTTTTATAACTGAGATTGTTTGTCATAATAACTATTGTTTTATTTTCATTGTTATTGGATTATCATAATTGTTTATATAATGTGCCAAAGTATTGTCTCCATTCCAGCTGTATGATGAATTAAATCAATTAATTAGTTTGGTTGTTTTTGTTTCAAGTTTGTATGTTGCTTTAGTTTAGCATGTGCTAAAGTTGTTCATAATAAGTGGCATTGTTTGTTAGTATTGATAGTTTAATTGTTTATTGTTTTGACACTGATAATGACTGATGCCACATTCACTATGAGAATAATAGCCAAACTCATTTAATACCAACAATCATTTTGATTGTCTAAACAAAAATAGTGATTGCTTCTATCAATAGACTAGGTGAGATTTAAAAGCTGTCACATTTGGATTATTGTTTTTACAGTTAAATCATCATAATTATTTGCTATTTTGCCAATAATTTGTGAACACTCTTCCTTGTTGGTAGTGCAACTAATTTATTTTTGTATATAACATTTTCATGTATAACATTTCTACACATTATAATTCCTCAACTGTACTACTCACTATTATGTTTGTACATTTCCCATTCATTTCTTCTCATGTTTCTGTAGATTAAGAACACATTTAGAACTTCACAGAATCCTTACCGTCAGCACAATGTCTTAAAGAACTTCTGTATTACCATCTGCGGCCCGTTTCCACCGAGGTATGCATATGATATATCACATCTTATCCTTTATTTTACTGACCACCCTAGCCTTATAGATAGAAGAGGTTTTGTTAAAGATGAAGAGCATCATGGCGTTGACTATGGGGCGACAAATCCTATAATGGTGAGTACAAGTATTGTAATTACACGCGTGCATGTGTTAATATTAATTTCACAATACTGTAAGCATTCCTGTATTTGCACATTGTGTAAAAGGTTTAACCTGACTGTCAAAATTGGATTATAGTGACTTCTCAAAAGTTTTCTATTTTTAATATTTTTGATGATCTTAGATTATGGAGAAATTGTCAGCTGATTTCAATCAAAATTGAACTTTTTCCAAAATCAGGCCAAAGTCCCCATACAGGGTCACCGGCCAAATTTTGCCAAAATTGAAAAGGAGAGAATTTGCCATTTTTATAATTTTTCTTGATGCGTATACATGTACTTATGTTGCATAGAAAGTTTAAACTGATTTTTAAAAATTTGAATTTTTTACGAATTTTTTAAGTTTGCTCAAAAATCAGATCGAAGTCCCTGTACTATAGTACAGGGTCACCGGCCAAATTTTGCCAAAATTGAAAAGGAAAAAAATTGCCATTTTTATAATTTTTCTTGATGCATATACATGTACTTATGTTGCATAGAAAGTTTAAACTGATTTTTAAAAAATTTGAATTTTTAAAGAATTTTTTAAGTTTGCTCAAAAATCAGGTCAAAGTCCCTGTACTATACAGGGTCACCGGCCAAATTTTGCCAAAATTTAAAAGGAAAGAAATTGCCATTTTAATAATTTTTCCTGATGCATATACATGTACTTATGTTGTCTAGAAAGTTTAAACTGATTTTGATAAAATTTAGATTTTTAAGAATTTTTTAAGTTGCTCAAAAATCAGGTCAAAGTCCCTGTACTATAGTACAGAGTCACCGGCCAAATTTTGCCAAAATAGAAAAGGAAAGAATTTGCCATTTTTATAATTTTTCCTGATGCGTATACATGTATTTATGTTGCATAGAAAGTTTAAACTGATTTTTTTTTAATTTGAATTTTTAAAGAATTTTTTAAGTTTGCTCAAAAATCAGGTCGAAGTCCCTGTACTATAGTACAGGGTCACCGGCCAAATTTTGCCAAAATTTAAAAGGAAAGAAATTGCCATTTTAATAATTTTTCCTGATGCATATACATGTACTTATGTTGTCTAGAAAGTTTAAATTGATTTTGATAAAATTTAGATTTTAAAGAATTTTTTAAGTTGCTCAAAAATCAGGTCAAAGTCCCTGTACTATAGTACAGAGTCACCGGCCAAATTTTGCCAAAATAGAAAAGGAAAGAATTTGCCATTTTTATAATTTTTCCTGATGCGTATACATGTATTTATGTTGCATAGAAAGTTTAAACTAATTTTTTTTTAATTTGAATTTTTAAAGAATTTTTTAAGTTTGCTCAAAAATCAGGTCGAAGTCCCTGTACTATAGTACAGGGTCACCGGCCAAATTTTGCCAAAATTGAAAAGGAAAGAAATTGCCATTTTAATAATTTTTCCTGATGCATATACATGTACTTATGTTGTCTAGAAAGTTTAAACTGATTTTGATAAAATTTAGATTTTTAAGAATTTTTTAAGTTGCTCAAAAATCAGGTCAAAGTCCCTGTACTATAGTACAGAGTCACCGGCCAAATTTTGCCAAAATTTAAAAGGAAAGAAATTGCCATTTTAATAATTTTTCCTGATGCATATACATGTACTTATGTTGTCTAGAAAGTTTAAACTGATTTTGATAAAATTTAGATTTTTAAGAATTTTTTAAGTTGCTCAAAAATCAGGTCAAAGTCCCTGTACTATAGTACAGAGTCACCGGCCAAATTTTGCCAAAATAGAAAAGGAAAGAATTTGCCATTTTTATAATTTTTCCTGATGCGTATACATGTATTTATGTTGCATAGAAAGTTTAAACTGATTTTTTTTTAATTTGAATTTTTAAAGAATTTTTTAAGTTTGCTCAAAAATCAGGTCGAAGTCCCTGTACTATAGTACAGGGTCACCGGCCAAATTTTGCCAAAATTGAAAAGGAAAGAAATTGCCATTTTAATAATTTTTCCTGATGCATATACATGTACTTATGTTGTCTAGAAAGTTTAAACTGATTTTGATAAAATTTGGATTTTTACGAATTTTTTAAGTTACTCAAAAATTAGGTTAAAGCCCTGTACTATGGTAAGAGGGTATTTTGTCAAAAATGAAATGAATTCTTTATTTTTATATTTGTTCTGATACATAATTGCATGTACATGTACATATCTTTTTCGTGTAGACCCTTGAATACTCAAACATAAAAGTTTGAGGACTCAAACATTTAAGTTTAAGTTTTAAATAACAAAAATAGTTGTAACTTGTTAATTAATTAACAAACTGACTCCCCAGCTCCTTAGCACACACAGTCATCCTGTCAAACAGCAAATCCCATCTAATATAAACAGTATCATTACTATTATTATTTTATCATTGCATCATAGATGGATCCAGAGCAAAGGTCAATGCAAGACACTGCTGATACAAGTAGTCAGTTACCACTAACAACATCCACGGACAATAACTGATTATTATTATTATTGCTGTTGTTTTTGTTGTTGTTGTATGTTCGACTACTGCTATGGGCATTCATTTTAGTACTCATATTATGTTTTAACTTTTAATACTACACAATATCCATTGCTAGGGAATCTTTAATGAATGAAGCTACCATTGTACAATGACTAACATAACATGATTGGTTGGCTGATGCTAAAATTCATAGCATTGCCAGAGCCCAACCCCCAGTAGTATCTAGATCTAAATGACAAGAGTCACAAGATGGCTTCAAGATTGACCATCTCGTTACTCGTAAGCCTGTCCTTGTCATCATGGATGCTGTACATTGCAATACTACAAATTCCGAGTGTTGGTAACAAGCTCCCCTCATTAAGGATAAAGTCTCGAGCAACTCCCCCCGTTATTGTCAAAATACCAGCATCTCAAGTCCTTGTGATGATGATTGCATTGTTCAACATTATAGCCTTTTCTATCCTTTACTCTGTTGTTGCTAAAGGAACTCTTCTACTAAAGCAAATTGTGACGTTTTTGATTTCTTCCTTTTTTATGATTTCGGGTGTGTCTATGCACACTGTTGCTGTGATAGTTGAGAATCAACTAACAGACAATGACACCGTTTTCCCATTGATTGATGTACTACATGAGTACGTGTCACACAGCACAGCTATGATTGGCTTCTACTTGATGATCAGCACCATAGTTTGGGAGGAGTACAGGCATTTTCTCAGAATCATACAAGATGGAAAAGGAATGAATGAATTAAAGCACAAATGGTTTACACTATTGACTGCTCTGATTGAATGGCCGTTCTCTGTTGTATTGGGTCAATTCATTGCTGTGTTTTCCCTCCGTACTAGCACTCATCTCATAACTTTCCTTTTCTTTTTTATTTTTGTACTCTTTGCATTTAAGTTGTACAAGGAGTTGCAGTCCTTTGGTGTTTCGATGTTTCAAAGTGGCTATTTTCGTTGTGAGATACTGTTAACAAGTTTTTTCTTTATTGTGTCACTATCTGGTTTATTTCATGGGCTCCTGGTACTAATAGGCAGCGATTGGAACAGTAATAATGAACTGTAATGTTGTTTTTCAATATGTTAAATCTTTCATTATAATAATTATTATTTTATTTTTAATCGCTGCTATTGGGAGCCTTGCTTTAATCTGTTAAAATTATTATAATGAAAATTTTGAGGATTTAATTTTAGTTATGACACTACAGAGTTGACACAATAGTTATTGTATATCCATCCTATAGTGTAGGTGTGACCTAACTGACCTGGTATGCTTTACTGCATCAGTAAGCTAACCTCAACTGGTATCATGGAAGGTCATGTGAAATATTCGTCTCTTTTAGTTCTCTCTATGCTGTTTTGGCTATTATATGCTAGTGGATTTCAGGAACTGACTCCTCTACTTCCAGCTATAAGGATACCAGTCCCTCAATCCAATCATTCATACCATCAACCCATTTCAGTAGGAATACCTTTATCTCAAATACTGGTCCTCCTTTTTGTTTTGGCTGATATTCTTATTTTCTATTATCTCTACTCTATGAAAGGGACTCTTAGGTTCACACACAATGTGGTATTCTTGATGTCTTCTTTCATGATAGTTTCTGGCATGTCCATGCACACTGTGGCTGTGATAGTTGAGAAAGAAATAGCAAAAGATAACCCTATTTCCCCTCTCGTGGCTGTATTACATCAATATGTGTCACACAGCACTGCTATGATTGGTTTCTACTCAACAGTAGGTATCATAGTTTGGAAAGAATACAACAGTGTTATTGCTAATTTTGAAGGAAAAAAAGATCCAAAAACATCTCTCAAAAAAGGCATCATCGTGCCAACTCTGTGGGTGCTGTGTTACCAGTGGGTAGTTCCTCTCTTGCTGGGGCCTTTTCTTGCAGTGTATAGCATTAATACTATTACAGAGATGACTGCTGTACCGTTTTTCTTCTTTATTTTCTTTTTGGTTTTCAAAATCTATCGACGTTTACAGTTGTATGGGGCTCATCAGATTTTTAATGAAGCAATAGCTCTTGGTTTCTTCTTTGTGGTATCAGCAACTGCTTTGCTGTTTCTTTTTGGGTTCTATGCTCAAGATCTGTATAAACTAATTTGTATACTCTGAAGTATTGAACTAACATATATATACTCAAGGGATATGGGGAATTGGGAATTACAACTACTATAACTGTAACCTTAATCTAATTAATCTATATTTATTTTAGGTGTAAATCTTAAGTAGTGAGACTATAGTTTTAATGTCAAATATTAAAGGACTATATACAGACCTACTTGTAGATTAATATATTATGTATTCTGTTGTTTATTAAGATAACAATCATTATACTATTGCATTGTTCTGAATATTGGTTTTATACATCCATGCCAAGTATAGATTTACTATATACTATACTCAGCAACCACGTTCCAATCATCTTAAAGCCAACATTGCTAATTATCCTCTGATGTGGTCAACCAACATGCCTTTCAATAAGGTTAATAGAAAGACAAACTACTGCCTGTAGTATGCAGGTAATTTAGCTTATATATAGTTACTATGCACTATATCTAAAAGCATGATTGCATTCTATACCCCATTATTATCAATTATATATGCCATATTTTGTTTTGTGATGCTGATTGTTATACATAGATCTACATGTAAGCTCTGCTAAAAGAATTCATCAAAATGATTGTATAATGAATTTTAATTTTAGTGTTACCATGACAATTTAGATCTGTAATAAGAGTAGGCAAAAAAACATAGAATGGAAGAGGATGATACAAAGAACCTATATGATGTCACAGAGCTACAAGACTATGATGACCAATCTGGGTACAAGCCTGGACCAGTGACCAGTGGAGGCTTGCAGCATCAAGCATTAGTATCTGTAGGGAAATTTGGTACAGTAATATTGATAGTGATAGCTCTGCTGATATTCCTTGGTCTTGTTATTCTTCTTGGTATTACTGGCCTTACTCTCACACATTTAAACACACTCCCTGTTTGTGATAATAGTGCATCATCATCAAGCTCCCTTGCTGGTACCAATAGCATTAATAGTACATGGGCTAACCTTTTACAATCTCAGGTAAACCGACTGGCCAACACAAGTGATCGTATTTTCAATTTTGCTCAAGACACTGCAATGAAAGTCGATGATATATACAGCTATACTGATGTTAACACTACAGGGAACATAAAGCAGATATTGCAGGCAACCAAAGATTCAGCTAACATGCTCATGGACATAGTTGGTAGTCTAACTAATATTGAAGGGAATGGCATATCTACTGCTGCAGTTGTCAATGACATTGTTATAGTGGCTAATAAGTTACTGGAGCTACAAAATGATTCCACCTTGTTTACTTCTGTTCAGCCTGTATCTTGCAGTGACATTAAAACAGCACATCCAAACAGTCCAACCGGTTACTATCACACAGGAGGTCACACCATATACTGCAATATGGATGAGTTATGCAGCGTAGCTGGTGGAGGATGGACAAGACTAGCATATCTGGATATGTCTGATGCTATACAGGACTGTCCCACTGGGTTTAAGTTATATTCCATTGGAGGCACCAGAGCTTGTGGGAGATCCTCATCTAACACTGGTAGTTGCACATCGATTAAGTTTCTAACCAATGGTATCAGTTATTCTCAGATCTGTGGTAGAGTAAAGGGATACACATACGGTAGTACTGATGCTCTTCACGATCATGTTGACAATCAACACGACAATATCAATTCCTATTATGTCGATGGTGTCAGTATTACACGTGGATCCCCTCGTCAACATGTTTGGACTTTGGCTGCATCTGCTGTAGGAGCCATCGTTGCTGGAGGCGCATACAACTGTCCATGTTCTCCTGGTAGCACACAGCAAGTTCCTTCATTTATTGGAAACAATTATTATTGCGAAGCTGCAGGTGGTGATCCACTCTGGGATGGTCAGAACTGTTTGTCCATAGAGACTGAGTGTTGTTCATCACCATACTTACCATGGTTCTACAGGCAGTACAATACTAGCACTACTGATTATATTGAGCTGAGGGTGTGTGGTGACCAGTCTTCTGCGAGTGAAGATGCTCCTGTCAGTTTATATGAAATTTATGTCAAATAGATTATTTATTTTTGCTATGCTTTTCAACTAAGTTTGCTATGCTTTAGCCTGTTTTATCTTTGCATTGTAAATTTTTATCATTTTTATACTTCAATCTTGTTGCAATCCCAGCCACGCCCAAAAGAGCTTGCAGACTTTCTAGCACCGCCCACATTTATCAGGAATTGGATTATAATGAAAATACGTGACGGTACGTGACTTGTCTGTCCAGTTTATCATGAGAACATTGACATTCAAGTATAGCTTTCATTGTTTTAATTGGCCCTGAAAGGAAGACATGCTCTTAAGATCTGTTCTACGTGTTCATTGCCACACTAATCGGCTATACCCACAATTCCGCTCTAATTCCAGAGCATTCTCCTCCCGCTATGGCCGTAGGACTTCTTACAAAAGAACACAGGTGCTCTATCCAGCAGGAGTGGCAGCATCCCTTACAGCTGCCGGAGTGTTGGCCGTGAAAAGTGAACCAAAGAGTAGTAGTAATAGTAGTAGTAAAGAAGGAGGAGGAGAGGTGGGAGGAGTTACAGGTGGTTTAACAGCCGGTGAATGGAAAGACGGTCTACCGCTGTACTCGTTTGATGAGGTCAAGAAGCACGACTCAAGCGAGAATGGTGTATGGGTCATTTATAATAAAGGAGTGTACGACATCACTGGGTTCATATCCAAGCACCCTGGGGGGGAGCTACTTCTCGTCGGGGCTGGACGTGCTATAGATCCTTACTGGAAGATATACAGTGTCCACCATAGCCCGGAGACTCACGCATTGCTAGAATCAATGAGAATTGGTAATTATGACACTAGCAGTACTCCGGAAGAAGAGAAAGGAGAGGACGATGGTGAGTTAGATAATCAGTGGTCTAACGAACCTCAGTCACGTCACCCTGCTCTCTTATGCAATCAAGAAAAACCCTTTAATGCCGAGCCTCCCCCGGCTATTTTAACCGGAGACTTTCACACGCCAAACGATCTCTTTTATGTACGTAATCACCTTCCGGTCCCACCTAGAGTTGATCCTAAAGAGTACAGGCTTGAAATAGCCAAGGAAACTGGCATTGGTGAAGGTGTGGAACCGATTGAGTTGAGTCTGGAAGAAATAAAAGCATTTCCTGTCACTTCAATATCAGCTGTAGTACAGTGTGGCGGTAACAGACGCCACAGTATGGCCTCATATAAGCCAGTCCGTGGTCTATCATGGAAGGGAGGAGCTATTGGTAATGCTCGTTGGACCGGAGTACGATTGTGTGACGTATTGAAGCATGTTGGTGTCAGTGGGGGAAACTATGGCGGTATTAAGCATGTTCAGTTTGAAGGTCTTGATGCTGATGCAATGGGTTCATGCTACAGTGCATCCATACCCATTGAAACTGCAATGGATCCTAATCGTGACGTATTGCTAGTCTTCCAAATGAATGGAGAGGACATACCTATTGACCACGGGTATCCACTGAGGGTTATAGTCCCTGGGGCAGTCGGGGCTCGTAGCGTCAAGTGGGTTTCTCGTATCGTCCTCAGTACAGAGGAGAGTCCAAGTATTTGGCAGAGACGAGACTATAAGCTGTTCCCGTCTAATGTTGACATTAATAATGTTGACTATGAGTCCAGTGAAGCTATGCAGGACATGCCTGTACAGTCAGCTATATGTCTACCAATCCCTGGTAGTACTGTTGACATCAGTAGTGGGTTTGTGACACTACGAGGATATGCTTGGAGTGGCGGTGGGAGGAGTATCTCAAGAGTTGATGTCTCCATTAATGGAGGCAAGGACTGGTCGGTTGCTAAGCTTCATTCTAATGAATCTCAAAAACCAAACAGAGTTTGGGCTTGGTCTTTGTGGGAGGCAACTGTCCCTGTGTCTGCTTGTACTGGGCAATTGGACATTGTGTGTAAAGCTATGGATTCATCTTGTAATACACAGCCAGAGAATGTTGAGTCAATTTGGAACTTTAGAGGACTTGCTAATAATGCTTGGCACCGTGTGTCCGTCAAAACTGCCAATAACATTTAAATTTATAATAATTATATTGATTCATTTCATTCAACCACGCTTATGATTTCAACTGTTTGTGATGCTTTATCTTTGTATTTATTTAATAATTATTACCTAAACTGTAATGAAAGATCTCTATCTACAATAGATCTACTATAGTCATAGTGTTGTGGGCGTGTAGTGTATAGAGCAGCTCTACTTGCTTTGTCTAAACCTGTTGTAATGGCGTCTTTTTCTCCATTCGTGTATGTCCTTTTGCTGATTGCTCTGCTAGCCTTTGCTCATGCTGACGGTGTTGAAGTTCACATCATTTCTTATCTACCACCCAGTAAGTGTAATTGTACACTAAATGCCAGTACTACAGGCCATATTATTTGCCCTACTCTGAGCACTGCATTGGAAAACTGTAAAAGCAATGAAACTTCCAACCTAACATTCATTTTACATAATCAGGATAATATTGAGACCTCTGTGTCGTATGAAGTGTCCAACACTGTTCACATACAAAGTAACGGTGCCAATGAGAATGCACCATATACCATTAACTGTCTTGATTATATATCATTAGAATTTATTTCTTCACTTGGTAGCCATCAGTCGGTTCTCTATTTTGATAATATTAAATTCCTTGGCTGTGGTAATGGCGTGGCCATAGGAATGAATATCTCTGGTGTGTATAGTGTCAATATGAATCAGGCATCATTCCAGTACATGTTAGGCCTCTCAATATTAAATGTTGTTGACGTGGATATTAGAAATTCTAACTTTACAGAATGCTACACTAATCCCTATGCTCCTTTACGAATCACATATAACAACTCAATATCAAATGCTGATAATAATACTATTACTTTATTTAATTGTCATTTTGAATCAAATCAAGATGTTAGAGATTTTGGCTTTACAGTAGGTTCATCTGGAGTATTTGTTGTAAGTTTTCCTCAGCATATGCAAGATAAAACTTTTACGATTGGTTTACAAGAATGCTATTTTGCTCATAATTACTTACAGTATTCTTCTTATCTTTCACCAATGTTATATGTGTCAAATTCCACCAATTTACATGTTCAGTTTACAATTAAAAATTCCTTTTTTACTAATAACAAGGGCCTTGCAGTTGCAATTGAAAATTCTCCACTGTTTCATAATAAAGAATTTATCGTTAAATTGTTTAACAACTTATTTTTCAACAATACCAATCCTTTGAATGACTATGGTTTAGTTCATGTGAACATTAACTCTGAATTTGTGACTTTAAATTACAAACAGTTAAATTTTACTAATAATACTGGAACACTATTGACTACAAATTCCTTAAATAATAGTGCTATTAATCACACATTGGTTGATTGCTCTTTTTATAATAATGTGAAGTATGGAATGAACAGTGTTGAATATTTAATATCTTTTAAAAGTCAAGGTAAACTATTTGCTAATAATGTGACTCTGAACAATTTGACTTATACAGTCGGTGGGCCTAAAGTTAACAGTGGTCCTTACTTAATGGTTACCATGAGATCTATATTTCACTTTCAATCTGTCAATCTTGTTGCTGAAAATTTGAACTTAACTGGCAGTGAC